TTTGTTTGTATCAGTTGGATCATGTCAAAAAGAAATAAGGGATAGCCTTAACATACCTTAACTCCGTTGAGTCCTTAATACCTTTCAATAAATTCTTCAAACAACTCAATTCAATCTACCACATCATAAGGAGATTCAAAATCAGTGCCGAGTAAAGACTAAGTCCGCAACTTAAACTAGTAGCTCGTTTACGTAGATTTTGGCAGCATCTCCCCTCTAACTAAGCCCTCCTCCAATACCATATACCAACAAAAACAAGAACACAACAATAACAATATGTAAGCATCATTTTCCAACCTTATCTCCATCACAATATACCACAAAACAGCCCACGCACACCCTAATCACTTCATACATAAAATAACAACCAAAGTGTGTCAAATAACTTTAAAAAATGTAACGACGAACGACCAGCCCACCATTCCGTCATTATGTGGTATTTCTCCACACAATTTTTCCTCCAAAACTTTATTAAATAGTAGAAAAATATACAGCCCAAAGGCAACATAAAACAGCCCACAAAATAGTCCACTACAAGTCAAATAACTCGAACTCACGACTTCCGATCACCGTCCCGTAAGTTCTAACTATAAGAAAACGAATTTATCAACATCCCTTGATATTTAAACACTTAAATACAGAAAGTACACGTTTTATTAACTATGAAATACCTTCCAAAATTCAAACTACAAAGAAAAAGAGAGGCGATATAGCGATACTTACGTCGTAGGGACCGTTTTAATGTTATTGCTTCTTGATTTCGTGCCAGGGATGATAATCTTATTTGAAGCTCTTGCAGAGAGCTTAAGAGTAAAGTTAGGGGTGTTATTTGGGTGTGTTCTCTGGAAAAATGGAGAAAGAGACGAGATGAGATGTAAATATCCCATTTTTTTTAAAAAAGTATAAAAAAGGTGCTACTTGGCACACTATGATTGACCCTTTTTCCAACGCTTATAACTTTTTATCCGGGTGTCGTATGAATGAACGGTTAAGAGAGTTAGAAACTACATTCCAAGGCCTTCAATATGATATATAATATGTCTCAAAAAGACCTCATATAGCACACAAAATTTATTTCTCAAAAAACTTTATTACAAGGCAAATCCTTAGTCGGTTTTTTCGCAAATTAAATCCGATTTTTCCAAACTTCATATTTTCTATCCAAATATCATCATATATAGCCATATTATGACTTTAGAATTATTTAAATTATGATTAACAAGTCTCATATTCATTACGTTACCTTATGACGCACATGGTGTAACAATCTTCCCCCCTTAGTAGGATTTTCCGATTCATTTACTGAATACCAAATCAAACCAAACCTAATCGGGTTTTCAATCAGTTTGACTTTTTGGTTTGGTGTGATTTTCCGGTTCGGTTTGACTTTTCGGTTTGGTACGATTTTTCGATTGGGTTTGTACACCCCTAACCATAGCTATACTCAGAGGCGCGAAGTAAGAATTTGAATTTGATGGGTTCAGAATTATAATTTTTTTAAGTTACTGAATTTTAAATTAATAATTTATACATATTCAATAGATTTTTTAAGACAAATATAAAGTTTGAACAATAACTAATGAGTTCGGCTGAACCCACATCCCATATTCTGGCTCCGCGCTCAGCTATGATCCATGCCTTGTAGAAAGCTCTACACATACAATGAGAGTTCTTTTGTCAAGAAAGCGTTCAACTTTCATGAACTGATAATGTAAAAAGTTATTATATTAAGTCACTTAGAAAATACTTGTAAATACTTCGTAATAAGTGAGAATAGTAACCTGAAAAATAAAACGTATAAGTTAAAATCAATATATAAGTTAAATCGGCCGTCAAAAACTTAAACATTGCATTTAGAGTGACTAAAATGGTTTTATAAAAATTGCACGGTGCACCCTATTTGGTCGCCCCCATTTAACCTATACCCACTTTTTAAAATTTTTTTAACTTGTACCCACTGTTTAAATAACTTCAGGCCTCTTTCTCCTCCTCCTTCTCCTCCTCCTTCTCCTCCTTCGTTAATAGTTGTACCCACTATCTTATTCATCTCGTTTCTTTCTTTCCTCTTTTATTTTCTCTTTCTTTATTTATTTCCATTAATTTTGGCTCTTTTGAAACTTAAGATCGCCGATTTTCCAAATATCTTACATGGAGCGTAGTTATATATTTCTACAGCGTGAATATTCTATCATATTTATTTAACCTACGGGTTAAGTCAAATTACTATTTTTCCCTCAAAAATAAAACTTCAGGCCTCTTCATGTCGAAAATATTTTTCAGTCTTTAATCTTTGAAATGAACAGTATCAATCGCTGCTAATCATGATCTATTAAATTCATTGTTGTTTAGAACTTCATCTCTAAGAATGCTGAAGTTCAGCAAATATAAACAAAAATTTCAGCTCTTAGAATGCTGAAATTTAGCAAATAAAAAATAAATTTCAGCCCTGAAGTTCATCACAAACAGAACAAAGCTTCAGGTAAAATATGCTGAAATTCAGCAAATACAGAACAAAGCTTCAACTAAAACATGCTGAAGTTCAGCAAATACAGAACAAAGCTTCAGCTACTAGAATGCTGAAGTGCAATAATTACAAACAAAAACTTCAGCCAAAACATGTTGTTGTTTTATTGAACTGAAGTTTGCCATTTGCACTAGAATGCTAAAGTGCAGCAACTACAAACAAAAACTTCAGCCAAAACATGATGTTGTTTTATTGAATTGAAGTTTGCCATTTGCACTATGAACTGAAATTTGCGTGATTGCCTTTGCAAGTCAGGCCAAACTTCATGCAAAAATATCTGAAGTTTTGCTACACGTCAGGCAAAATATTCTGAAGCACAAACTTTAGACATAAATTTTTGCTACTTCAGGCCCGTATGTTTGAAGTTACGCGAAAAGTGAGTATGCTTGTAATTTTTATCGCAAAGCGGATATAAGTTAAAAGGTGACCCAAAAAGCGGGTATAGATGCAAAACACACCAATGGTTTTTCCTATCTGAATTTAAAGTTGATGTACTTATACCAGTTTAAGAAAACAATATTTATGCAACAATACTTCATTAAGGTCCAGATTAATATTTCATATATTATGCATCCTCTAGACCACTCCTATTTGCTTCCTACTTCCATAATTAATGATCCCATTTATTGTTTTCTTTGTATAATTTTTGTCAAATATCTCACGGATCATCATAATCTCACTTTAATAAGAAAATATCCGAAGATTTGACTAAACCAAGAATTGTTTGGGTACAGATTTTAGATTAGTAGAAGCCGTTTTGAATTTAAACTGATTTCATTTAAACAAATAAATCTTGGATAATCAATTTTATTGGAAAAAATAATATATATATATATATATATATATATATATATGGTATGAAAATATCCAAACTTGACAGGCCCTAGAATCTGATCCTAGCTTCCATAATAACCTTTAAATAAACGGGTCAAGATCTGAGGCTGCTGGAGAATTGGAGGCAAAGGCAGGTGCATGATGTAAATTTAATGGGTTCAAATTTTTTAATTTTTAGTATTAAACTCATTATATTGTTAGAATTCGGGTTCAAATCTAATAAGTATTGAGATTTTAATAGATTTTTACGTATAAATCGATACTCCGTATTATAGTTATAGATTCAAATGAACTCATAGCTGAAAAGCTACATCCGCCCGTGATGGGAGGTCATGATCAAGGCACTAAGAAAATGATGGATACAACACATCTCTTCATATAAATGTACTAAGACCAGGCATAAGGCATTGTTATCATACTTATGAGGAGACAAAAAATTTTTAAAAAAAAAGAAAAAAAAAGATTTGTCTTTTTGAGATCACATGCATGAAACTAAAAGATGAATAAAAATCAGATCAGAGAAATAAGGACAATGTAACAAGTAGACTGATGGGTTTATTATTAATATTAATTGTGATGCGAATATTTTTGCAGTGGGATTCCCACAGATCTTCCCCACGTTAAGGTCAAGTGCATCTTATGATGTTTATCTCAATGTAAGATCTACTAAATTCTAAAAAACAATTTCTAGGCATCTATCTCATCATTGCCTATATAAACATACTATATAAGTACAGCTAATGAAGAATATTCCAAGTTCGTAACTATTCTACTTTTTTATACCCCTTTATTTAAGAGGAGTAATATCTTTACTAATTTATTTTTCCTTTTCTTTTAGGTTGAAAATAGTACTTTAACCTAAATTAATTAAGAGCATGTGTCGGTTTATTCATGACTCATTGGAGCTAAGACTGATTTTGTGTACCTCGTATTTTAATGGGAAAATGACACAATATAGCCCTCTCAAAATAATAACTGAAAAAAAAATAATATTTTTTCAGTTACGAAATATAAATAATTTCTGGCATATGCTAAAAGTAATTTTTTTTAATTTTAAGTCTTTTCAATAGTACCATGGCACATAGGTAAACTTGGGATTATGTGTTTCTTCAGCTAATAGTAAAAAAGAAAAAAGAAAAAAAAACAAATTTTCAACTTTTTTAGTAAGTATGCCGTTTCAAATTAAGTCTATTCTGAATATCGAGAAATTGGGAGAAAGAGATGAATATTTCTAATTACTAATTACAGTTTAGAGTATGAAAACAAGAGAGAAAACTATGTATTATAGTCGCTCCAAAAAATAATAACCGGCAATATATATATATATATTATACATAAACTTAATCAGTATATATTTTTTTATATATTTGACTAACAGATATAATTAATTTGTCGATCGGCCAAATGCATAACTTGCCCAAAAAAATCAAAATTTAGAGGAGCAGGCCATGCGGTTTAAATGGGCCAAAAGAAAGGGGAAGCCCAAACAAGAAAGCAGTTAGCAGTTACTAACGACCACTGATGAATATGTGAAACGTGGCAACAATGGACAAAAGCAAAAACCAAAACCAAAACCAACGAATAACTAACGGACAGCCAGGTTTTGAGATAGCAAAAAATGCGGGTTTTTTTAGCATTTAAAGAGAATACCATATGATTGTTTTTTAGCGTTGGGTTTCATTTGAATTTTTCTTGTTTTTGCATTTGGAACTCATAGCCAACCGTGGGCACCACTAACTAATTCCTCCTACGACCTCTTCCTAAAGCTCCCTGTTTTATACACAAAGGTAATTTAAACGAATTTAGAATTTAAACTTAGTAGGTACTATGCATCGATTGCCTCTGTTGTGTCAATGTTTATTTTTCTGTGCGTTCATTATAGACAAACATCGCTATTAATGTGAGTTGAAGCTGTATTTTTTGATTTCTTGGGTTATACTTCGAACTTGATTCTTGATTGTTCATAACAATCACATTATGGTGGACAATTGGATAAACTTATTAGGTCTGTTTTTTATTGGTTTCAAATGTAGGAATGTAGTTGGATTGAAGATAGATTCTTGGATCCTTATCCAACGGATTTGATAATTTATTTAGCAATACTATCAATGTTAGTGGGAAGATGAATCTTGTTCTTTGTGTGTTACTGCTTGATTTGGACTGCCAATTCCACTTGCTCTTGGTTGATTAATGGTGTTTTGGCTGTTATCTATTATCTGTTTGTTTCCGTTTGATGATCTTTCTAATTTGAGGCTGTCAATTTTGTTCACGGCAGTAGATAAAAATGGCAGACGGTGAGGATATTCAGCCACTCGTCTGTGATAATGGGACTGGAATGGTCAAGGTATGTACAACAGAATTGAAAGTATCCAAAAATTTAAATGTTCGCTATTATTAAAAGGGTAGCCCACCGTACTAAGCTACCACTGTCCACGAGGTCCGGAGAAGGTCTGACCACATTGGTCTATTGTACTCTATATTGCTCGGATCTTCTAAAAATACTGTCGCAGCCGCGCAAGATCCGACATGGGTGCGGCAGCATTTCTAGAGAGGATCTAAGCAACATAAATTGTACTAAACCCCCACTATACACGAGGTTCGAGTAAAGTCGGACCACGTTGGTCTATTGTATGTTACATTGGTCGGATCTTCCAAAAATATCGTTGCACCGGCGTAAGATCCAACATGGGTGTTCAACACTTCTAGCAAGGATCTGAGTGGTATAAATTAGTATATGAAACCTTACCTTTAAGAAGTTGTTTTCACAGCTTGAACTCGTGACTTCTTGGTGTGAGAAATTTTACCTTTGCGCCATGCTCCCCTTCAATTGTTATGCTATTATAAAGCATAAAAAAATTACCACTGCTTTGGTAGTTATTTATTCGTCTTTTGTATTACGTGCCCATTTTATAGGCAGGGTTTGCTGGAGATGATGCTCCAAGAGCAGTATTTCCGAGTATTGTTGGTCGCCCACGCCACACAGGTGTGATGGTTGGCATGGGGCAAAAAGATGCATATGTTGGTGATGAAGCTCAATCCAAACGTGGTATTCTAACTTTGAAATATCCAATTGAACATGGTATTGTTAGCAACTGGGATGATATGGAGAAAATCTGGCATCATACATTTTACAACGAACTTCGTGTTGCGCCAGAGGAACACCCTGTACTACTCACTGAAGCACCTCTTAACCCGAAGGCTAATCGCGAAAAG